GACGGTGTCCTCCTGTCGTTCTGCCTGGGCCCGTCAATGCAGGTGTAAGGATCGCTAGTTGTAGTGGTAGTAGTATCAATAGACCACTTCTTGTTGTAATGATAGAGGCAAGCCTGTATAGTAATGAGAATGATGGGAAATCTATTCGCACGGCCTGTGTCTGAACTCATCTTCAACACATTTTAGTAGCCATTGAGGGGATGCTAGTGGCCAGAGCATTGCATTCAAATGACGCGGTCAATCTAGTTGCACTAGTGCTTAATCTAGATGTTTATTACTATGTTCTTTTCAGCTGATGGGACATTTCTTGGGGATGTTCTGTGGCCATTGGTTGCTGCCTACACACAACAAAACAATATTTCTCGACAAGGCTTGTATACGCCAGTGTCATGCACAACACGATGGAGTCCAAGCAGAGACTGAGATCGACTCTGGCAATATATCTTCGGTCAGTTGTCATCAAACCCTATCTTCTGGGAGCCGAGTACGCTTTGAAGCGGCGGACTGCCCTGCGTGTCTCGAGATGAGGGCGGGGATAGAGAGAATTGGTGAGTATGGTCTGCATGTTCCAATCACGATTCATGAGACATATCACACTGTTGGGAGTATATGTCTCTGTGCCACTTAGGAATCGCCATTCGATTCTTTGATCATGGAATTGTAGCTTCATCGTTCACTAACATATTGATTCGATATGAACTCGATCATCGAGTTGATATTCTCATAATGGCGTCCCCCTATTCGGGAAATAGATTTCTGGATGGTATTGTCCTTTGGCATAGCGGCCACCCTCCTCGAAAAATAGATCCCTGAATGGTATAGTCCTTTGTCATAGCGGCTTCTTATTCGGCAAGTAGATTCTTGGATGACATAGTCCTTTGGCATAGCGGCCCCCTATTAGGCAAATAGATTTCAGAATGGTATAGTCCTTTGGCATAGCGGCCCCTCATTCGGTAAATAGATTCCTGAGTGGTATAGTTCTTTGGCATAGCGGCCGCCCTATTGGGCAAATAGATTCCTGAATGGTATAGTTCTTTGGCATAGCGACCCCTTATTCGACACATAGACTCCTAAATGATATAATCTTTTGGCATAGCGACCCCTTATTCGACAAATACATTCCTGAATGATATAGTCTTTTGGTATAGCGACCCCTCATTCGACAAATAGATTCCTGAATGATATAGTCTTTCGGCATAGCGGCCCCTCATTCGACGAATAGATTCCTGAATGGTATAGTCCTTTGGCATAGCGGCCCCTAATGCGACAAATAGATTCTTGAATGGTATAGTCCTTTGGCATAGCGGCCCCTCATTCGACAACTAGATTCCTGAATGGTATTGTTGTTATTGTTATTCTTCCGGTATATTAACCACCACATTCTAGCGTATGTCAATTGTCTGAGGTTTGGTGTATATATATTATCTCGATGGTGCGGTATGTCCTATTTCATTTTGTTATTGTCCCTCAGGTGAATACCTACAGCACTCATCAACATTCCTAGTGGTTCTCCATTCGGACTACTTCAACCGTCTATGGTGCGTTTATGAGTTCGCATGCTTCCTGGCACGTCACAAACCGAAACATATCCATATCATTTCCCCTCAAGGGGTCTGCTTGTGTCTGTTGGGCCCAGTTCTGGCCATCGTCTTGAAGATGCTGAAGGGCAGCTTTATTGAAGGGGTGAGTTGTTTTCAGACTGCAAGGGTTCCGGATGTTATTCTTTTGGATTACTGAGGTCCTCGGGGCTCTTTATATCACGTCCCGTCATGGACGGCCTTGGAACGTGTCTTCGTTATTCAGCCACAGGATTATCTCGTCTCCATCATGACGGGCCTGGTGTGGGTAGTGATCGACATGACCGCGGTGTGCGAATTGACGGATTACACTTCAAAGACTCTGAGCGAAAACATAGCGGTAATCTCAAGCACAGGGATCTTGCTTTGTCATGTTCTGGTCAAATTTCGGCAGATTCCTCTACGGTCATTTAATATTTCCGACACGCAATGTACTTTCGAGAGTGATAGGAAATATATATACGACAACATTGAGCATGACTATGGCAAGGTGATGGGTCCAGTGAGTTGTGGTGGTCCATGCAGTTCTGAGGTTTTGCAGATGACTCTGTTCGAGGGGTTTATCCGAGAACGCGTTAGTCTCGCCCTAGCAGATGCTCATCTGAGAATCCCTTGTCTTACATGCATCGCGATGTCGATACCTATGCTGTGGTTCGCACTCCAAAAGACTATGGAATGGGTGATGCTAGGGAAGGTAGTGTATCCTCTGTTCAACATGCACTATTTGTAACTCCAGATCAGTCATCCGGGAA